GAGAGAGAGAGAGAGAGAGAGAGAGAGAGAGAGAGAGAGAGAGAGAGAGAGAACCTTCACTAGCTGGCTTCTCTTCATTTACCTGGGGCCCTAGACCACTGGATGGTTCCATCCACGCCAGAGTAGGTTTCCCTCTGCTAATCCTCTCTGGAAACACTGGCACAAACACTCCCGGAAGTGCGCTTTACAAACCCCCCCGGGAGCTTCTCAGTCCAGACAACTTGACAGTATCAGGAATCCATCCTCCCTCTTGACTGATGAACTAGGTCGTGTTTGTGTTTTCTTTCTTACAAATGAAGAAACCAAGCTTAGGGAAGGGAGAGCTCGCCTGCCCACCCACTCCAGCCCCACACAAATAAAACATTTGAAACTTTATTATTATTGTGTGACTGTGGGTGTGCATATGATGTGTGTGTGAGTGTGGGCATATGTTCCACGGCACACGTGTGGAGCACAGGGAACGGCTGCGAAGCGAGTTTTCTCTTCCGTTCTTCCACTGTGTCTTAGGTAGGGTTTCTATTGCTGTGAAGAGACACCATGATCATGGCAACAGTTAATTAAGGTGGCTCACTTACAGTTCAGAGGTTCAGTCCATTATCATCATGGTGGACCATGGCGGCACGCAGGCAGACGTGGTGCTGGAGAAGTAGCTGAGAGCTCTGCATCTTGTAAGCAACAGGAAATGGTCGATGTCACACCGAGCAAACCTTGAGCAAAAGATCCCACAGCCCGCCCCCCCCCCAGCAACACACTTCCTCCAAAAGGCCACGCCTACTTCAACAAGGCCACACCTCCTAATAGTGCCACTCCCTCTGAGATTACGGGGACCAGTTACATTCAGACTACAGCACACGGGCTCTGGGGGTTCTCCGGTTGTCCCAGGTTGTCAGGCCAGCAGGGTAAGTGTCTTCACCTGCCGATCCATCTTGTCCATCCTGCAAACCGGACACTGACCTGCTGTGCTGTGCTGCCGCAAAGCCTCCGCCCCCCAAATCTCTTTAACCTCCACTTGAGCAGAACGAAAAAGGGGGGCTCTTGTTCATCAGAGCGTAATGTATTTCCCAGATTAAGACTGAGGTGACTTTCAATCCTTAGGTTTTTGATCCTCAGAAATTAGCATGCAGCAACCAGGCAAGCTCCTTGGTTATTGCCGTACAGCGTAGCCTGACTTGAAACGAGTCTCCTGATCATACAGCAAGCGCCACACTTGACACACAGAGGAGGTTGGCAAATATCTGCCCAGAGTTAGATTGTGCAACGACATTGGCAACTCTGGTGCCAACTGCCCTACAAAGCAGCCAGTGGTTCCCTGGCCCTGGCACCACCTGCCCTTGCCAAAGACGGTCCTAATAAGGGGGCACCTACTACGGTGGTGGGGGTTCACAGAAGCCTCTGCGCTGTCTGATGCCTCTGTCTCCCCTCTTGGCTAGGCAGGGGAGAGGAAAGCAAGCGTGCTTCCACTCGGGAAGTGTTCAGCTTCCTACGGGCTTTAGGAGTACCTCACCTCCTCCCACTCTGGGTTGGCATACACAGGGCACAATGCCAGAGTGAGGCCTGCGGGTTGAAACTGAGCTTTGATTACCTGGGATGGTGTGATTAACGAACCTTTGATGTTGATAAGCAGCTGGGGAGCCCTTCATCTGAGCACACCCCTGTCCTTGGAGGCCTGGGATCCAGCAAAGCAGTGTAATCATTACCCAGGGCCCCAGACCGAGTGAAAGCTGGAGCTGGCCTTCAGGCAAGGCCAGGCGGCTGCAGATGCTATTTCCTCCTATGCCAGGAAAGGTTCGAATGCAAAAACAAACGTATTTATCACTTCCAAGCGCTGTGCAGGGCAGGGCATCCTGCTGCGGGGCGGGGTGTCGGTGTGCACCGGGAACAGTGGCAAGCAGCCAGAGGAAACTTGCACCCCAGTTCCCACCGCCCTGCAGCCATTCTGGAGGCCAGCCTAACACCAAGCTCAGGAGCCCGCCCCCTGGCCAGCCCTGAAGACACAGGCGCCAGGCAAGGGCTGAGCCCTGAAATCACCAGCCAACCAACTCCTGCCCAAGGGAGCCGGGCATTGAGACCAGATGAGCTGTCCCCACTTAGTCACCAAGACTCTTCCTAGCCCTGAGGTGTGGGCCAACAGTGAACTGGAACATGAGCAGGCAAGTGAGGATTTGCCTTTGAATCCTGGATGTACACACGCCCTTGGGCTCTCCGATTAAGCAACAGAAGGGCTCTCTGCTCTAAGACAATTCCACCCTTGCCCAGTGGCCAAGGGACTGACTAGCCATTTCTGGAAATGAGGGAAGTTGGTGCAGACCATGGAAGTTTGGCAGCTCACAGCCTCTGGGTCTTTTAGTAGCGCCCCTCCCCCTCCACACACACCCCAAGCCAGACTTCACACCTAATGGAACTCCTTTAAAAGACAAACTGGAGCTTGTCACCCTCCAGCTGAACCTCCCGGGAAGGCCATACCCCCATGGAGGCTATTCCAGACTCTTCCCTGGTTTTGCTGTACCAATCTGTCAATCTCCTCCCCCGACCTGCTTCACACATCGGCCCACATTTCCCAGGCCAGCCACCTACTTTCATGCCCAGACTGCCATTTTTAATTTCTCCACCTTCTTCTGCCTCTGCTGCATGGCTTAAAGGTGTCTCTAGGGTGAAATCTTCCTTGCCTTTTTTACCCTCACCCAGATAAAACCCGGGTGTCTTCCTGCCTGGGCCTTGGTAGTTCTGTGTACACACCATTAGGCACAATAACCCAAACTGCAGCTGACTTACTGGCATGTGACGATATACAGTCATATCAACTGAGACCTGATTATGAACGTTATTGAGTAAAGCGCTGTGTGTGTGAGTAAAGACTCTCTCTCTGTGTATGTGTGTGTATTATATGCATTCATGTGTTTATGTGCATGTATATGTATAGTGTTTGTTCATATATGTGCACGTGAGTGTGGAAACCACAGATTGACACTGGGTGTCTTTTTCAATTGCTTTTTACCTGATGCTCATAAATGAATTAGACCAGCTAGCCAATGAGCCCAGGGATCCCCCTATCTTTTCCTCCCTAGTGCTTGGGTTACAGGCACATGCTGTGCCCTGATTTTATGTTGGTGCTACGGATCCAAACTGAGGTCTCCATCCTTTGTGGCAAGCATTTTACCGATTGGGCTAGCTCCACCACCCCAATGACTCCTTTTTATTCATCTATCTATTCTCAGTCCAGTCACTGGCACACAAAAGCTGCTCAATTATAGGACAAAGAAATGACTGAATGTCCTTCCTTTTCCTTACGTAAAATAATGCAATTCTTAAGCCTTCTAGGAGCAAAAGGACATTTATTATCTGCAAGAAACGCTTCGCCCTGGACAGATTCCACCATCCCCGCACCCCTAGAGCAGCTCCAAGAGTACCAAGAGCAATGTGTAAATTAACTGCTTTCAGACCAGTGAACTCCCAGATGCCAACCAAGGCACTGCATGTTCAGAGCAAAGCCAAACCACACACAGAAATAAAACTTCCTAAACTACCCACACTCCAAATTGCTTTGACTGTTTTGGAAACTCCTTCTGAATGGAAAGGAGCTCCAGAGGAGAGGAGAGATTTTAGTGGCTCTCTTATGGCAAGTCTTCGGGGTTTTTTTTTTTTACTTCTGGATGCATTGCTTCCCACAAGAAGATAAGATGGGTAATGCTCCTCATTGATGGCCTTGAGTGGGCTGTCCCTGTAAAATCCACAGCCCTGAGCATCCTCATGATGTTTTTGGGTTCTTTTGATTTCAAAAGGATTATTGTTTGATGAATGTTATTGTCCTTATTGAGATTGTTGTTATTGAACAATCTCTGCAAATATTATTTGAAGCTTCTCTGAAAACAAGATGCACTAAACCCTGAAGCAAATATTTCAGCTTTCTCAAAGAGAGAATCCATAGTTCCCACATTATTATGGTAAAATCAAATCACAGTAGAGAATGTTACATCAACAAATCCCCTTTGTGGACAGAATCTCATTGGTAAGAAATGCTCTAATGTCTCAGTCCCCTTGGCAAAAGAAGGCCAAAAGTTTAACACTTTTCCTTCATCCTCACTCTACAGACCCCCTCCACCCTCTCTTGCCCACATGGTTGGAAAGGACACCAAAGATTCATTTAGCTCTCTTAAAATTTTTTTAATAAAATATAATTATATCATTTTCCACCTTCCCTCTCCATCCTCTAATCCCCCTATGTTCCTCTCCCTCTTCCTCTCAAATTAATGGCCTCTTTCTTTGGTTATTGTTACAGATAGGTAGGTAAGTAGATGGATGGATGGATGGATGGATGGATGGATGGATGGGCGGGTGGACGGACGGATGGACAGACAGATAGACAGTGTGGTGGTTTGCATAGGAATGGTCCCCAGAGGCTTATATATTTAAATGTGTGGTTGTTAGGGAGTGGCACTACTTGAGAGGAATTAGGAGGTGTGGCCTTGTTGGAGTAGGTGTGGCCTTGTTTGCAGAAGTGTATCACGGGGAGTGGGCTTTGAGGTTTCAGAAGCCCAAGCCAGGTCCTGTGGCTGCCTGTGGATCCTGATGTAGAACTCTCAGATTCTTCTCCAGCACCAAGTCTGCCTGCTACCATGCTTTTCGCCATGCTGAAAATGGACTAAACCTCTGAAACTGTAAGCCATCCCCAATTAAATGCTTTCCTTTATAAGAGTTGCTGTGGTCATGGTGTCTCTTCACAGCAATAGAACATTGACCAAAACAGACAGAGGGATAGATAGTAGACAGATGATTGTACAACTATATAAATACAACCTGCTGTGTCTGTTTTTGTTGTTTGTGCGTATATGATTTTAAGGCTGACCACTTGGCATTGGATAACCAATTAGAAGGCTCACTATTGGGAGAGGCTAGAATTCTCCCTTCCTCAGCAGTCATTAGTTGCCTGAAGTTCTTTGTCTAGGCATGGGCCCTGTGAGATTCTCCCCCTTCCGTCTTAGCATGTATGTTGATATTGTAGTTGTTCATGTCTTATTGAGGTGGCCATTTCTAGGAGACACAGTTCTACAGCAGACTTCCTGGTCCTCTGGCTCTCACCTTCTTTCCGACTCCTCTTCCCTGACCTTTAGGTGCGGGAGCTGTATTGAAGATATATCGGTTGGTGCTGAACTCCCTATGATCTGTTGATCTCCGCATTGTGTCTGACTGTGGTTTTTCCTAATGGTCTCCATTTGCTATAAAGAGAAGTTTCTTTCATGGGGGGGGGGTAAGAGCTATATTTATCTGTGGGTGTCATGGCCTGATTGCAAATGGCCCCCCAAAGCTCATACATTTGAATTCTTGGTCCACAGTTAGTGGACCTGGTTGGGAAGGATTAGGAGGTGTGGTCTGTTGTGTCACTGGGAGTGGGCTTGGAGGTTTCAGAAGACTCATGCTGTTCTTGGTGTACCTCTCAGCTTCCTGCTTGTGGCTTTCGGAGGTGAGCTCTCAGCTGTTCCTGCCACCATGCCTTTGGTTCACCTTCATGGACTCTGACCCCCCTGGAACCGTAAGACTAATTAAACCCTTCCTTTTGTAATATGCCTGGCTCATGGTATTTTACCACAGGAATGGAAAAGAAACTAATCCAGTGGGTATAAGGATGAGTTTTATAATGGCATCAGGAATCAGGCTGGTTTAGTAAAGGAGCAGCAGTAGACTGTCTTCTAAGACCCATGACTTCACAGCCCAGG